TTTGACAGCGGCAGCTCGCGTGACAGCTTTGCTGTAAACGTGAAGGCAGTTCTGGCAGCACGCGCTATAGGCGCAGGCCACGACCAACTTTCACGATTTTGTGCGATTCTCGGTCTTCCGAGCCCGATGCATCACAAGACATTCAATGGCATTTGCAAGAAGCTCCATGGTGCGGCGATGACGGCAGTGAGCAAAAACTTCCACCAGGCACGAAACATCACGAAGGACGCAGTCGGCGGCAGAGATGTGCCAGTCATGTTTGATGGCACCTGGCAGAAAAGAGGTCATAAAAGCCACAATGGAGTGGGCACAGTCGTGTCCCTGGACACGGGGCTCTGCCTCGATTTTGAAGTTCTATCGAACTACTGCCATGCTTGCAGTATACACAGGGACCTTGGGGAGGATGAAGAGATATGGCGAGCTCTTCATCTTCCAGTTTGCCAAAAAAACACTGACTGCTCATCCCATGCAATGGAACCTGCGGCAGCTGTCAATATATGGCAGAGGACCTTGTCTTATGAAACTCCACTGCGATTCACCAGCTTCCTAAGTGATGGTGACAGCAAGGCCTACACTGCAGTCTGCGAGGCAAATGTATACTGTGACACCCCCATTGACAAAGAAGAGTGCACGAACCTTGTTGCAAAGCGCTTGGGAACTGCCCTACGGAAATTGGCAACGCCACTGCCACGAGGCGAAAAACTGAAAGATGCGACAATAATAAAACTACAAACATATTACAAGATCGCCATCACGAGCAACAAGGACAGTGTCCGAAATATGTACACTGCCATATGGGCATCGTATTTTCATTGCTGCTGCAGTGATGGTGCCAGTAGCCACAACTTTTGCTCCGCGGGACCAAATTCATGGTGCAAGCACAAGCGTGCGGAAGCACTGGGGGAGCCTGCACCACGCCACACCCCACTGTTGACGAAGGCTCAAGGATTGGCAATTATGCCTATCTACAAGCGCCTTACAGAGGAGAAACTCCTTATTCGGTGCCTTCATGGCAAGACACAGAATGCAGCCGAATCGCTGAACAGCAAGATATGGCTGCTATGTCCAAAAACAAAGTTCGCCTCCAGAACAACTGTGGAGACAGCCACCGCTCTTGCTGTACTCTGGTACAACAAAGGCCAACAGGGGCTTTGAAGAAGTGCTCGAAGGCATTGGAATTCTCCCCTCACAAGATCTGGCCACACATGGTGACCACTGTGACGTCATGCGCATCAGGAAGATGAACCTGAAGCAAACTGCAGAAGCGAGGGCACACCGTCGCAACACAGCGAAGAGAGCTCGTGTTGAGGACACTGACCGCAAGAGCCGTGAAGGACCAAGCTATGGTGCAGGGGACTTCTAGACACTTGCAGTGCATTCAAGGCAAGGTACTTTTCATTGTGCCCCAATTTGATGCAAAAAGAATGATTTCCTAATAAATGCCAACTTTGCGAACTTTCAAACTTGTTTTTCTTATTTTCATTTTTTCTGACAGTTTCACGTTTTCCGGGCAGCCTTTTAGAAACTTATATTCATTGTATAGTAACGAAACTTGGCACCATATTCTTCAAACACATGCAGAATGCAAATATCTACTCTAAATTGCAATGCCTACCAGCATTAGTGTGAAAATATTAGCTTATTGTTTCAAGGGAGATTGAAAATAATAAGTCATTCAATACAATTTTTTTTTCTTGGTTCCAATATTTCTGTGACATATCTATATAGATATTTGCACTTTTCAATCTACCAAGAGTCAAATAAGATCAGACACAGTGCTTTTACTGAAAGTTTAGTACATAAAAGAGTGCCCGCAAAAAATGTAACTTTTTGCTATTGTTTATGGCATAACTCAATAATTATAGCAGCTACACAAAAATGATTGCATATTTGAAATCTGCATGAAACTCGAGAAAGTAGATCCGCCACAGACCACCTTGTTCGTATCGAGGCACCAGATCAGGGACGCCTTCGCCCATAAACAATATTTTCTCTCTGTATTCCTCGATATCGAAAGGCTTATGATACATTGGCGTTTTGGATTCTGAGAGACCTGGCCCACCTTGGCGTGCGCGGAGAATGTTTCACATAATCGAAAATTACCTGTCAAAACCGGACATTCCGTGTCCAAGTGGGCACGGTTCTTTCCCAATTATTTTGTCCAGGAAACAGGGCGTGCCACAAGGTGGTGTACGTAGCTGCACACTTTTTCTCGATCAAAATGAATTCCTTGCGCTTGTCCATTCCTCGCAATTTGTTTTATTGGTACATATGTCGATGACGTCCAGCTTGGCTTAGATCTTGCAATCTGGCAATGTGTGAGCGGCAGTTCAGTTAGGTTTAAACAAGGTCTCCAAATGGGCAGAGAAAACGGATTCCGACTGAAAACCCACAAAAAAGCACGTGTGTCTTGTTCTCCCGAAAGAGAGGCATGCACTCAGAACCCGACATTGAACTGAACGGTCAACATCTGTCTGTTAATTTGGAGCATAAATTCTTAGGATTAATCTTGGACAACAAGTTGACCTTCGTACCGTACATCAAGTATCTAAAAACAAAATGTTTAAAAGCCATGAATGTTTTAAAAGTGTTGTCACGTACTAGGTGGGGTAGTGACAGGCAATGTCTCATGAACCTATATAGAAGCCTCATTCGCACCCGCTTAGATTATGGCGCCGTTGTTTATCAGTCTGCGAGTCAAAGTGCTTTGAAGATGCTGGACCCCGTGCACCATTTGGGCATCCGCCTTTCTACGGGTGCTTTTCGCACCAGCCCCGTAGAAAGCCTTTATGTTGAGTCAAATGAGTGGTCGCTTCATCTGCAGAGAACTTACATGTCCTTTGTTTATTTCCTTAAGGTGAAAGCAGACAAGAAGCACCCCTCATACTCTACTATTACTGATTTATCGAGCTCAATTCTGTTTCAAAACAGGCCTTCGATGAGGCAGCCCTTCTCAGTTTGCCTGAAGAGTCTAGCTGAGGAAACTGGAGTCTCACTTGAACACAGTTTAATGGCTCCTGTAGTATACCCGCCACCGTGGCATCGGCAGACTATAGACTGCGATGTGTCTTTTCTGGAAGTTACAAAACATGCGCCTGTTGCCCATATCCGAACATACTTCCTGGAACTCCAACACAAATACACACGTCCTGAGTTCTTTACAGATGCCTCGAAGTCTAACTCCTCTGTGTCCTACGCTGCTGTCGGCCCATCCTTTTCGGATGCTGGCCCTCTAAATCCAGACACAAGTATCTTCTCAGCGGAAGCTTATGCGATACTTGTGGCGGCTAAACACATCAAGCAATTACAAATACAAAAAGCAGTAATTTATACGGACTCCCTCAGTGTGGTAACGGCTCTGCACACTTAAAAAACACAAAAACCCAGTCCTTGTCTCACTTTACTCCATTTTGTGCACACTCTACACACTCAAACAACATGTTGTAGTGTGCTGGGTGCCAGGGCACCGCGAGATTCAAAGCAACGTGAGGGCGGATCAGCTCGCTGCATCCGTCCACAAAAGCACTGCCCCTACACCCATATCAATCCCGGCCCTTGATCTTAAGCCGTCTCTCAAACGAAACCTAAGGGTATACTGGCAGAGCAAGTGGGATACACACACACAAAACAAACTACACGTTATAAGCCACACCTTGGTCATTGGCTGCCCGTATCGAAATCGCGTCATACAGGTATACAGTAAAAGCTCGTTAATTCGAATTCCGTGGAACGCTGAGCAATTTCGAATTAAACAAAATTTGAAATAATGAAAGTGAGCAAAAATGGGTGGATTTCGGGGGTGGGGGCACGAAAAATATTTATTGGCCAAAAAAGTCGGTGATGACCATCTGCTTCTTTTCTCTGAATGCCACAGCTGCGGCTCCCTGTTCCAGCGCGCGGACGCGGCGCATGGAATCCTCTTCACCCTCTTCAAAGCTGAAGAAGAGACGCGCCACATAAAGTGCCTCCATCACCGCAGAAGCTGACGGGCGCACAGACGCTTCGTCATTTTCGTCTTCCTCACCTTCTGGCTCTTCAGCATCAGGTTGCGCACCGGCTACTTGAGCGATAATGTCCTCATCAGTCAGGGCACCACACGCCGATGCACCGGTGTCAACTTCAACATAATCGGCAAAACGTATGCCCCGAAGAGTGTCGCGCAATGCCACTGGCATGAGCTCCTCAGCCCCATCCACGTCGACGTCACAACTATCCTGCGCACTTCCAGCTGCAAATCCACTGTGGCGGAAACAGTTTGCGATTGTGGTCGCGGTCACCTGTTCCCATGCGCGCACCAACATGTGCATGGCAGTGAGCAACGTAATGCCAAAGTCCTTCCTGTCGCCCGCGCACAAAATCATTCGTGAATGAACAACGTGCTCGAGGAACAAAGTGACGCTGCCGGGAGCGGCCTAGGACTGCTAGGACTACTCTGCCGACTCCTTAGCGTCCCGTGGGTCCCGCGTACAAGCGGCGCCAGGCGCTGAGATAGCAGGAGGGCTACGAAAAAAAAAATTGCTCCCTGGATTTTGGAGGCCATACTTTGCTCGCCCTTTGCTCGGAGGCCACTTGAAGCTCGAAAAAACTGGTCGTGCCACCTATCGTTCGACCGTAAAAGCTTCCACTAGTGTTTGACGATGATGACGCTTGGCGGCGCGCGCTTCGAATTATCCGTAGAGGCAGCAATTTCTGTTCGAATTAACGAATCGTTTTACACATGGTCCCCTGTGCACTGCGGCGACCATTTCGAATTATCCAAAATTTTGTATTAATGAGGTGTGAATTAACGAGCTTTCACTGTAATACTAACGAGACTCAGGATAGGACACACATACGCGACACACACTTATCTTTTGTCTGGTGACGATCCACCATTGTGTGACAGATGTGGTGAAGCATTAACAGTTCTTCACATTTTAATTCAGTGCAAACAATTGGACATTCTAAAAAACAACATTTTCCAATACCCTACCGACAACATATACCTTTACACCCTGCAGTGTTCGTCGGTAGGGAACCGCTCTTTAGTCATAAATCATTGTTAGCATTTTTAAAAGAAATTTATAATTTTCATATCATATACCCGGGCATTCCGTAGCACGACCTCTCCAGAGAGGTTTTTGCTGCGGTGGCTACACAAGAAAGCACTTGCCTCACGGCCCTTGGACGCAAGGGTATGAACGAGTGAGGTACTTGTGCTAATGCCATACATGTCCACCATCGTTTTTCATTATCACCAACTTTTGTCACCTATTCACACCACACACACCTTTCACGGCATGGTCATGATTTGATTGTATGTTTTTACCCGACTTACCGCGAGGAATTTTATGGCCCTTATACAGCCGCTTATCACAATCATTGTCCATATTTTTAGTACGATGAACTGGCGCTCTTTGGCCAGGAATTGGCCCTTGCGCCACAAAACATCAAACATCATCATCATCTTTTATAAGCAGAGTGCCACATTTGCACTTTCTTCTTGATCTCCGTTTCAATGTAGACACACAGGTATCTCTTACATTCAATGGTCTGTTATTTCAGTGACTCTTCTAGAGGGGTCAGACTGTATAACCATTGTTTCTGCACCTGAATGCACAGTTATAAAATTGCAGCATTTTAATGCTGCAAGCAGATAGAAATGTATATCCTCTAACGGTCAGAGTGGCTTCACTTGCAGCTTGCTTACATTATAAGCTCCCGAATTTTTCTTGCCTGTTATAGTATACCTTTCATGTGCTGTTTGTGCATTTTTTACTATGTGATCCTCATATAGCGTCATCTGATAAAATTTTTATGCACGGCAGCATTGTGGTACTAAATTAGTAGTAAAGTATACAATAAAAAAAATGTTCAAAACGAGTTCTCATATACATGTTCAAATTGAGTCTCAATGTATATATGGTAACCTGCTATAGTGAGAAAGGTGGCTTGTACTTTGGTTATATTGAATTTCATTGTTTCAATCGATTTCATGTCAAATGCCGCTATCTGCATACTTATACATTCTGCAACAATATTTTAAAAAGATTTAGTTTGTACCCAGTACCCAACTGCAGCAGCCGTAAACTTGGCTGGCCTGAACAGATGGTGGCATTTGGCAGCGTTATATGCAAGCCCAAAACATGAGTGTGTTCTGTTTCATCAAAGAGAAACCACTAGTAGGCCTTGAATTGCTCTCGCACTGCAGCTGTCATTGTCTGACAGCTCCGAGAAGTTTGAGCGTGCGATACGGTCAGTCACAGACATATTGTGCCATTGTCCCCTATCTACTGAGCATCAGCTCTTCGTGGCTTTTGGAGACTTCATACTCTGTGCCGGCAGGATCAGCTTGCCTTGCACGATTTCCGGCTTTTACCAGCCTATACATTTCGTGAAGACATTTCTACTCAGCCGGGTTTTAGTGTGGCACTTCCTTGCTTATATGTATAAAATTATTTTCCAATTTGCTGAGAATTTCTCTTATCAGGCCTATGACAAGAGTGTCTGAGGAATATAGAAGCACCATTACTTTAATATGGTTGAAAAATCGCGGGAGTTGGCTTTTGAAGAGACTCTAAAGGAAAATATCAAGCTAGCATAGATGGATTTTTTGCCTGCATTGGCGTGCATCACCACATTCTGCATGCCAATAAAGGAATTCTTTACTTTCAAAAATCTACTGTAAGTCTCTGGTGCTACAGCTCGATTTGAATCGCCTGGCCGAATCGTATGGTAGTTTATGTGACCACTGTCAATGCCAATTTGAGCGAATCGGCGAGCATCCGAGAGCTCCACGCCCTTAATATGTATCAACAACTCTGCACATTTATTCATTGTCAAAATTTATATCATTCACTTTTTATCTCTATGCCGTTGAGTAATCAAAGTAACCTGATGTCATCTAGGTATTGAGGTACCCAAAAGTATGACAGAGGGTACCACTGTAACTTCTCAATGTGCTCTTTATCTCTCTCGCAAATGCTCTGTTCTCATTCTCACTAGGAATGGTTAATTGGTGATTGCACAAGCATAATCCTTCAATTTAGCTCAACTGTCCGCCACTGGGAATCAGTGGCTACGGTATTCTGCTGCTGACCTCAAGATCGCGGGTTCGATCGCGGCCGCGGGGGTCACATTTCAGTAGACGCGAAATAGCCTGAGGCCTGTGTGCTGTTTAATGTGAGCACACACTAAAGAACACCAGACATTCAAAATTTACGTAGCCTTCCGCTACGGCGTCCCTCAATATCATGTTGTAATTTGGAGACGTGAAACCCCGGATATATTTTATTCTAATTTAGCTCAACTTTATACTTCCCTTTAGTGTCTCTTTAAGCAGCAGTATCCATTGTGCTTGCTTTCTGTACATTTACACAGCATGTTGGCATTCGCATGTGCTCCTTCCAGCGACGTGGACTATGAGTTGGAGACGTTCTTGTTGGGCGTAGGCATGGTGGAGCTTGTAGAGACGCTGCGAGAGCACGGCGTGAGCAACCTAGAGAGGCTGCTCAAGTTGGACGAGGAGGGTCTCGAGAGAGCCGGCAGTCACCAAGGTCGGCTTGCGGTCACGCCTGGCAGCTGCGATACGTCGGACTCATCAGCTGCCGTGGCACAAGCGTAGCATACCGGATCTCCGAAAGTCGGCCACCATATCGTGAGTGCTGCTGGAAATGTTGCAGTCCCTTGCCCTGCTGCATTTCCTACACAGGCGACATTTTTTTATACGATAATCGTGGGGCCTTTCCCTGTGCAGATGCGCGATAGTATGATGTGTGTGTCGGTTTGTCTTTTAGGCGTCCCCTCCCAGGCCTGTGGAGGGGGGCCTAAAAAAAAAAAGAATGACCAAGGTCACGATGTCCATGACTTACCTTCTCCTGTGCCATACCCTGTTCTTACTTAGCTTCCAGCGCTTTCATTGACATGAGAGAAGCAAGAAAGCAGTTGCTGCGCCGCGGTGGTCTAGTGGCTAAGGTACTCAGCTGCTCACCCGCAGGTCGCGGCATCGAATCGCGGCTGCGTTAGCTGCATTTTTGATGAAGGCGAATATGCTGTAGGCCTGTGTGCTCAGATTCGGGTGCACGTTAAAAAACCCCAGGTGGTCAAAATTTCCGGAGCCCCTTCGCTACGGTGTGTCTCATAATCATATGGTGGTTTTAAAGGGTAAACCCCACATATGTATCAATCAATCGAGAAAGCAGTTGCTGTTCGTGACAAATCTTTATAACTGCACGTGTACTGGATGGATGTAAAATTTGTGCAGCAGTCGATTCGTGATCCAGTAAGCTTTTTTATTGAAGCCATTCTATGGCTACTCAGGAAAGTGTTGCGGGGCCCATTCAGCTAAATATTCAACATGAATATGTTAATGGGGAAGGGCATTTTCTTTTGCCAAATTTAATGCACAAAAAAAAAACTGAACAGGGTAGTGCAGTTTGCAAATATGCATGCAGGTATGCATATATCATTTAACTTATCTCTTAAATAAAAATAACACTGTTTTCGAGAACAGTTGAGCAAAAGCTTCTCATCAAAATCTTGCTTAGGACCTAGCTGGGTACTAGGAAGCACAAGCCCCACAGTGATATGAGTACTTTTTTGATACAACAAAAAATGCTTGTTAATGTTCACATCATGGTGGAAGCAATTCATCAGCCTCGTTTATGCAAGTGACCAGCTGCCAGCTCTGAGCAGTAGTCATACGAGGGTCTCCCGGGCTGCCACAGTATGTAAGCACCGTGCAGAAAAACCTGAAGTTGCTATCGACAGTAGCTGCACTATAGAAAGAAGTGCATGGCCGTCAATAGTCACTCAAGGTTGTGGGACTACCAGCGGCATCGCAGCTGGGATCAGTCATTAGCTATCACTGCATTGGTGCTGCTGCACCCAGGAGGTGCTGCTTATTGTCCAAACCTAAATAATGAATGTCTTGGGGCATCGCTGATCATGTTTTGCCAGATCAACTAGAGGTGCCTTGCGCAGCCATCCCTGCATGCCTATTCTGCAGTGAGTATGTATACACAGCTATAACTGCACTGAAGAGTTTTAATAGCAGAGCTATCATAGGGCTGGGCTTGACAACAGATAGGTATTCACGCATGTCATGCTCAGGTTCCCAGCTATGCCCATGGCATAACTGCCTCGCCCATAGCTGAGTCACAAACTTGTGGTAGTCACACAGTGAAACGGGCAAAGGGTGAATAGGGCCGTAACTGCCTGCAGCAGCTGAGGCTGCTGCACATCCATGTATCTCTACTTTACAAATAAAATTAGCACAAACACCCATCCGAGATTGCAAAACATTACAAGAAATTACAGAAAATCACCAGTGAAACATTGGACAACCGTTGCTCTGCTGTTTCTGCAGATTTCACACTGGCTGGAATGGAGGTAAGTCTTATATTATTTCATTTGTTAACCTGCTTATTTATTTGTTTTTCTTCACCTCAAGAGCAGGGGTCAACCCATGTTTTGAGTTTTCGCAGTACTGCTGGTCCATTGCTTTTGCAACTGTTCTGCTCTTCTGATACAGCTGCCCCGAGGCTCTCTCTGTCGTGACAGCTGTCCGTAAGCATTTGGGCCACATGGAAGTGTCGTTGAGCCACTTGGAAAATCACCTGAGCAAGAAACCCAAGGACTTGGAGTTGGGCCGGGACTACTGCAGCGCACGCCACTTGCGCGAAGAGCTCAGGGAAGCCCACGAGGCACTGTGTTTGCTCTCTACGCAGGTGCAAAGGGTAGACCAGCTGGTAGCTAAGGTTGGTGCCTGTCATGAACTTCTGAGTGGTGCCACTTTGTGGAAAATGGGGTGCTCTTGTTTTTTCATACGGGCAGCCTCACTCTGTAGTGAAAAACAGTGACTTGTATTTGTAAGCACACTTCCACAATGCAAGAAACACCACTCCTACCTCACGAAGACGCTTGGTATGCTACTTCCAGCGAATGCGCAAAAAAAAACGTGCAGGTAGCAGCGTCCATCAAAATTCTCGCACCGGCCAACTGTGATGTAGATTTTACCAATATGTGCTAGGGCGTTCAAGTTGCATTGTGCTCTGATGGAGCCGGTCATTAGACATGGCAAGTTTTGGGACAATATATTGAGCCAGTGTGGTAGTAAGAAAGGAAAAGGCACTTGAAATCGGCAATCCATGCTGATGAACCAAAGTGAAGTTCTTTGGTTTCCAAAAACTTATCCTTTCGAGCTGATTCAGTGTCTTGTTGAAGTGTCCCTTTAATTCTCGCAATTGAGTGTTTTGAGAAGCAGACTTGCAATTGTCGAAGCAGCAGCTGCCTTCCTTAGTGTTGTGTTTATGTACGCTTTACAGGGTAGCCAGCCGGTCTGAGTTGTGGCTAACCTCCTTGTCCTTCCTCCTCTTTCTTATGTACGCTTTACCTACTGTTCCCCAGCCCCAAAAGTGGCACAGGATATGAGAAAGCATGTGTGCAAAGGAGCAATAGGAAAGAAAAAGGAAAAGGTTGGTTATTAGCATTCATTGGCATACAGGGCTTGATTTGTCAAATGGGTGTTGGCTGTTACTTAAGTAAGGAAGGCACAAAAATATTACGAAGAAAAAAAAGTAAGATAAAACAAAACCAATTGTGGAAGGTATCTTGGGTGCAAATGTGCTGTGGTCACCTCGACTACGGACAGTGTGTAAGGCCAGGGTGTTCAGAACGCATGAATAAATACTGGCCAGAACGCATGAATAAATACTGGTAAAAGTTGAAAGACTCAAATATAAAGACAGGTTTGGATAAAATTTTTGGTACTTTCTATGCCAGTGTGTCTCATTTTTCCTAATTAGGAAGTACTGTAAGACCTAGTGTACCCCGTCAAAATCTATGACGTCATGGTGTTTGGTGTGGGATTCTCAAAGTGGAGTCTCTGCCCGCGCTTTCTTTTCGCGCATTTTCTCGCTTACCAAGCTTCATCTCGCTGTAAGGGTGGCGTTTCCAGGATTGTGCCCTTGTACGTTACTAGTTGTACAATTTAATATACAGTATATCAAATTGTACCGCACTTGTGTATGGCATCGGTATTCTATAGCAACACCCTGGCATATGTAGTGTAATTTTGAATATCCTATACAGCTTTCGCAGGGTTCTGGAAACAGAGCAATGCCTTGTGAAATCACAGCTACATAGAAAGCACGCAGTGACTAGTGGTCTTCTGAGAATGTTTGCATAATTAGATACAAGAATGTTCTTAGGCCAGAAGAACGGATTTAAGCTTCAAAGCCAAATCAATATGCTCTGTCATTTTCAGGCTGATTTGGGCAATCTTCACATTCATGGTGCACACAGAAAGGCTGACCTTTCTTGTTTTTCTTTTTTTCAATATTTCTATGTTGTGGCTTATTCACTGCTGCGATTGAAGCTGCTTGTGTGACTGCTCAGGTTTGGTAGCCTAATCAAGCGGTTAGGTTGTCTTGTCCGTGCTGTGTAACAGTTCACAGCAATCATGGGCGCGTACACGGGGGGCAGGGTGGGAGAGGTGGTAAGTCAGCCTTCTTTGCGGACACAATGGGAAGGCGGGGTGCCACAACAAACCTTTGCCCCCCCCCTCCGCAATGGGAGCCCTGCGCATGCCTAGGACAGCAATTATTGCAGTGCATCTTTTAAATAGCACTGCTTGTCTATAAAAAGGGAACACGCGACCAGTCGTGTACTGACAAAAACATTTATTTTTCATAATCTTTTTAAATTGCTTCATATTGTTTTCGGTCTATACTGTTTATAAAATGTTCATGTTGGAGCAGTCATGCAGCTTGACCTTTTATCATGCACATACAATTTGTCAGCTCCAAAAATCAATCAAATTGGATGTTACTCTATGGGCGCTAAGTAACCGCAACAGAACCTGAACTAACATAAGAAGGCCTTTCGGCCACAAGGTATTAAACATCTCATTTATCTTTCGAACTTGTGCTTAAAGCATAAAACACAATGCATTGCACAATTTGTCCCTTTGATGTACGCACACTTGGTAGGCAGGCTTTTACGTCAATGTACCTAGTTTGAGTATACGTCAATGTACCTAGTTTGAGTATACAAGATTATCCTTCACAGTGTTGGGTCCATCCCTTGAGTTACCGCACAAACATCCAGATTTTATCTAGATCATATGCTCTTGTCACATTTGTTGTGGCCATGTCAACTAATTCCTGTAATAACGTTCTCTACTAGAATTTGAGATATAGTGCCGGAGGTTTTCGGAGTAGGCTTGTTGATGTAGTGCGAATACAAGACAGCGAGGTCAGCCTCACATTGTCACTATTCTTTCAAGTTACAGGACAAAGGATGCATCGTGTGGGAACCTCAATGGCCACCGCTGCCTGTTGAGGTGAAGCGCAGCAAACTCCCAGCGTGGGTGCCTTTATGCTTCTTTTTCACGGCACTGTGGGCTTGCAAAATAGCCCTGGGCCGACACAGTCATTGGCCGCGTCTACCCGGGTTGTTCATGCATCGCAATATGTAAAGAACTTCGACATACTTCTAGTCTCACGGAAGTGCTGTAATACATCAATCACCCATTTTGCCACCGGACCACAGAAACATCATCATTGAATTAAATGATATTACATCTCTTATTTGCGCATAGACGCTTTCTCCGTTTCGTCATATTACTCTCTTCGTCTGTTGAGTTCTGGGAGTCCGAGTGTGTAGATGCAGGCCTCTCTTGACCCGAGTGCCCTTGCTGGGGTTCGTCCATGGTGCTCATATCGTTAGTTGGAGGTGTGGGTCCGGGGTCATGTTTGTTCTTTTCAGAGCTGCCCTGTTCGTGATCAGCAGCTGCCCTAGAAGTGCGTTTTGTTTTGATGACATTGTGACGTTCCGCGTGTGGTGTGGGATTGACATCGGCCACCACATCAAGGTGGCTTCTGTTGGCATCCCATGGCATCTCTGTTGAGACAGTAGCAGACCAGCAGTGGCTGCACTGTGGCGCTGAGCGAACCTGCACAGGATTCACGCACATGTCAGTTTCATTCAAGCAGTGAAGCTGCGTTTTCTGCAATAGACAAATAAATCAAGTGGGTGAGTGGATGGTATTATGAGTACCACAGCTACTGCTGGTGCAGTGTCAAAAGTCTTTGTGATAGCTTTTGAATTTAATAATGTGCAAGTACACACTATGATGCACCAGTAATCTTGGGACAACTGATTAAAAGCCCTTCCGTGTTTTAAAATTGTCATTGAATTTTGAAATATATGGAAGAAACAATGAAATATTCTTCTATTGTTCACAAGATGAAAAAGGAAAAATGCCTGGCCTGCATGGAAAGTGTAGCACTGTCACAGTAAAAGCTGGTAAAGTGGCATTTCTATAACCTGCTGCAAACTCCCTTGGGGCTGCCTTATTCAGGTACGCTTGCAAAGTACCCACTACACCATAAATTGATGAAGTGGCTGATAATAAAGAATTATGGTAAAGACTTTTGTATTGGGTTGGAAGCTTTGAACGATCCACTTATGCAATTCATACTGTGCTATGCCTGGTCACATAATTCACAATCTGCGAGGCCTGGTTATCTTGCTCTTCTGCAATGCTATATTGTACGTCTTGACACTGTTCCTTCCAGTCGTAATGCTAGTATAGGGTTTTTATGTACAGGATTTACTAGCACTGGAATGGATCTCTGGTAGATTATGGGGCTGCCACGAAGAGGACCCATGCTTGAACCCTGTTCCGTTATGGATACTTTTTCTTGTTTTGCGAGATAGTGTGTAAGGAAACTGACAGTGGCAGGCAACTATGGCACCCCTGTTGTGATCTCTTAAGGGGGGGCGCGGCAAGTAAAGTGCCGATTTTGGTCAAAATATGCGATTTTCTGATTTATTTTTTTTCGTAATCTTCAGACCTTCAACTTCCTTGTTCTAAAATATTACAGCGAAACGTGCGCTACAAATCCCGCAAATAGTGTTTTTGCCGAGGCTAGTCGCCGAAAAGTGCGAAAAAAAAGCCCCTGAAACGGTGTTGTTCACGCCGCACAAACGCGCCAAGTTGTTGACCGTGGGCCGCCATTTTGGTAGCTTTGGAAAGAGGAGAAAGCCGGCTTCCCGATGGTCGCGGTCTCGTATTTCGCCGAGTGAAAATAAAAGCGCGAGGAGCAAGTAAAAAAACGAAAACGAAGAACGGCAATTGGCTGCGCGGGTCACGTGGTAGCAGGCGCGACCTCTTACTGGTCAAAGCTGCGCCGCGCACCTTGGCAACCTTGGAAGCGCGAGCGCATCTGCGGCCGCCGTGTCGAGAATCATCCGGCGTGCGCTTCGTTTTTGCCAGTTCGCTGTTTTTGTGATAGTTCGCGTGCTTTTTTTACCAAGCTTTGTTTACATCGGTGGTCTCTTCTGAGTGCTTGCTCATACTGCGGTGCTATGTTGTCGCAAAAAAAGTTCCGGAGCGTCCACAAGTACGGCAAGCGTCGGAAAGCTTGGAACAAAGGGCAGACGACTGCGGCTGCCGTCCCAGTCGCAGTTCCGGACGGAGCATGCTCTTCAAGCGTCACGGAGCCTTTACTCAGACCCTTCGCTGATTGTTGTGAGGCCGAGAGTGTGGAAGGTGCCACATCGTCGTATGTCAGACCGCCGGATGCCGTCGACCGTGATGGACGCTCTCGTGAACCCGATTGCGGTGGCACCGCGTCGGCAGCCGTTGCAACTCCGGGCGTGCGCGCGTCGAACATTCTATCGCGAGTTTCGGCCCAGATTCCGAGCAGTGAAGAAATCGCGCAGCGGGCGCAGACAAGGCGGGATGTTTTGGATGCCGTAGCATCGAAGTCCGCTTCAAAGCGGAAGCTCGAGCTTCTGAACGAAGGCTGTGACGAAAATGACGGCGGTAAGGACTCCACATTCTTCATTGTAAATAAGAAGATGCTGAACGGTCTGCTTTCGTCAGTAAAGTGCAACAAGTGCGACGAAGGGTCGATACGCCTCGAGACTACGCACTGCCTTGGACTCGCGGCGAGGATGGAACTTTTTTGTGACAATTGTGGCATAGTGAACAGTGCGTGGTCGTCCCCGAGGTGCTCCGGGCAACAAACAACGAACCCCTTTGAGGTAAACGTGCGTGCTTTGAGGGCTGTGCAGTCAGTTGGCAGAAAACAATCTGCCATAAATGACATTTTTTCTGCGATGGACATTTCGCATCGAGCACTGCACCACAAGTCCTACCAGAGACTGCAAAGGAAGTACAGCCACCCTGCCACCACATCAGCTGCCACCCGCATTGAAGCAGAAAGTGCACAGAAGGTGCATGACATTTACAAGGACCTAGGAGGAGTGCCAGGCAACATTGACGTCATTTACGACGGCACGTGGATGACGAGGGGGCACAGAAGTCATATTGGCGTGGGCTGTGTAATCGAGCTGTACACAGGCTTGGTCTTGGACCACTGTGTCCTGTCCAACTACTGCCAAGGCTGTGCTGTTGGCCCCAAGCCTGGTGACGACAACTATGAGGAGTGGCTTGAGAAACACAAGCCACAGTGCCAAAAGAACACCGATGCTAATGCAGGCCAAATGGAAGTAGAAGCAGCGAGGATCATGTTTGAAAGATCGTTTACCAAGTACAAGCTTCGATATATCGATGTGCTCTGCGACGGTGACAGTCGTACGTACCTTGCCCTCACGCAAGACAAGGTGTATGGCTACATGTTGATTAAGAAACAGGAGTGTGTGAACCATGTGAAAAAAAGAATGGGCACTTCCTTGCGCAACCTTCTTGATGAGCACAAATCCAAAGGCCGAGGACTGAGCATGGGTGGCAAAGGCCGGCTGACGCAGGGCCTTATAAAGAAGTTGACGAATTATTATGGCTGGGCCATTAAGAGCCACCCCAACGATGTTCCTGGCATGGAGAGGGCCATCATGGCCACTTATTACCATGTAACATCCACAGACCAGGATCCACACCACGACCTGTGCCCAAGTGGGACTGACTCCTGGTGCCCGCACAATCAGGCATTGGCCAAGGGAGAGCCGCTGCCGCCTCACAAACATAAACTGCCCCCTCACGTGCGAGTGGCACTGCTGCCAATCTACAAGCGCCTCTCGAACAAAGAGCTCCTTGAAAGGTGTGCGCAGGGAAAAACCCAGAACGCTGTGGAGAGTATGAACAGCCTCATTTGGTCACTCCAGTCCAAGAGCCAGTTCGCCTCCCTTCGAAGTGTGGAAAGTGCAGTTGCAGATGCAGTCTGCCGTTTCAATGGTGGCTGCAAGAGTGCGCTGCAAGAGATCACTGCTCAACTGGGCTTCAATCCAGGAGACTGCTCTTTGCGGCGAGCAGCCGAAAGGATGCCAAAAGGGTAAAGAGGGCTCAAAAGGCGCATTGTTCCACGACAAAGAAGCGCAAAACTGGGTTGCGCTCTACAGAGGCCAAGGCCACAGCATCTCAGGATTACTGCCCAGGAGGATTCTGAGTGTTTTAGGCATGTTGTGAACTTCCAAACAAGAGTGAACTTTCAAAGTCAGTTTTCTCAACTCTTGATTTTCGCCTATGTGCCTACGCTAGAACATCTGTCATTTTCTAACAAAGACTGATAGAGTCGTTCCGTTTTTTGCACTAGGCTCAGGAGGCCTTTAGCAGTGCAATAAAGCTTTATCTCTCTTCTTACTCATCATTTAAAATTTTTAGAACACATTTTATAATTACTGCGATGTGTGCGCAAAACAACATCCATGTTTTGGAAATTTTATTTATGGTTACAAGAACTAGAAAAATCAACTAATAGCTTCTTTGCACAAGTTGATGCTTTGGGAACATAATAATATGAAAAAATAATTTCATTTAGCAATAATTATCTCTTTAAGTGTGAAGAGCATTAATTAGTATAATTATGCTTGTAACTCAAAAGTACAAGAGGTATTTGAAAACGGTTTTCATATTTGGAATCCTCACAATCATCCACATACACACACCAAATTTCATCACAAACAGTACATTAATAAAAAAATTAGTTTTACTTGCCACGTCCCCCCTTAACAGCTTTTGCTGTAAATGTCTCCATACATATATTTGCAGTTGTGTTGCAAGTTTAGAAATACACAATTTCCACAGTTTGTATCGCTATTAGGCCAACGTGACAACCTTCGATAGACCCTTCAGAAAATTCAGTCTGGCAACATGGCTCTTCTGCCATATCTTGTTCACTCGTGCGAGCTGACGGGCTGTGTGTTCCAGCGTCGCAGACGAGCGTTCCCTGCAGTGGACACAGACACCGCTTGCATTCCTGCAAGACGTGTACCGCGTTTGGACGGTACGCCAATCAGCGTCCATTGGGTGAACAAGACATGGCGGAAAAAATGTGTTTTCGGTTTCGTTCGATAGGTGGTGCTGAATTTCGAAAAGTCTATTTGAATGCTCTTATGAAGGCACATGCCGCCACATCTTGGTCATAGTTACTTTGTTTTTAGTAGGCAGTTTAGCATGTTGGGGCATGTTTGGATTCATAAGTGCAAAGTGCACGGTTCATAGCGCACGGCCTAATGCCATGAAATTGTTGTGCTTTTTGCTTGCATATGTTGCCAGTTTGCTGTAGACGCGATTGCACCAATTTGTGCCGAGATGCATCTGCAGCACTTCGGCGCAGTACTCCTCAGCACCATGCCTGGATTGTTTCACAATTCTTATCAAAGGGGAAGCTTAAATGACACATTTGCACCAGGAAACCTGCTTGCGTTCATGGTGGAGGGTGTTTACCAACCTGGAACAGTCAGGGAATTGGGACCCTTCTAGAAAAGTCACGGAAAACCCAGGGAATTTCTGAAAAACCTAGCCAGGTCATGGAAACTGACAGCAGTTCTGTGTGACCATCACAAAAATGAGCATTATCATTGATCAAAGCTTAAAATGTCTCGGCTGCAACTACAGTGAGCTGCTAGAATGCGTGTGAAAAAAAAAAAAAACAGTGCATACCTCTTGCTTCTGAGTGTAAACACGGAAAGATTCACCGACCCATAGAACACAAAAACTGCTGATGTTTCAGTTCCCTGTATCGGAGAGAGCTTTATTCACAATAAAAGCTATAAGAAAGGCACAGCGTACTTAAATACACCTAAATACGTGACGTAAGCAGCGGGAGTACGTTGTCATAAGTGTCTCATCACTCCTGTTTGGCGTATGTATACAGTCGTCTGTATCTGAATTTCAGGTGCAGGCATGATGCAAGATTCTTTTAAATGTGGAGCATTTTATAGTCGAACCTACTCGCAAATCTGGCGACGGCGGTGGTGTCTACACCCCTACTGCACATGCTCGCTTCTCATGCCGACTGTCCCTCTCCCCCTCTCTCGCCTCGTAAAGCCAACGCAAGCAGCGTCTGCTAGTAAAAACCAACTGCTCGCGCTGCACAATTGTTCACCGACTACTCCATATATCTAGGCACTGGATGGGGCATTAGGAATTCAGTCAAGGCAGTCTTTACTTGGCTTC